CCCCACACACCTTTTTTTCGCTCACGAACGAGGGCTGCAGCAGTATCAACAGTGTGCCTGGTTTGAGGATGACTCACAAATCTTGGCAACCATACGCACCTTAGAATTACACGCGTGTGCCAAAGTGAAAGCAGCCTACTTGAATCAATATGTGAATGGGTGGGTAGCGTTCTTGTACACGAAGTGGAGACCTGTTTTCAACACTGTCTCGCTCTCTGCCTCCCTGTTGCATGCCGGATCTTTTGATCGCCCCGTTGTGCCGTGAGCAGATATACCTGACGTGGGTGCTCGAGATTGGGTGTTTGTGTTGGTCTATTTGTATGTGCTTTTTGTTCGTCTGTCTGTTGATGTAACTATGGTGGATTGTTTATAATTAGAGGTTATTAGAATATAATTATAAATGTGTGTCTTTGTGTGTGTATGTCATTTTTTATTTATGTGTGTGTGTTTTACTGTGTGTATGTGTGTGTGTGAGTGTGGTTTAGGGGGGGGGGCGTGTATTATGGGTGTACATGAGCCTGTGCGTGTTTGAATATTTGTAAAGTGGACTGTATGCTTATTCAACTAGTCTGCAGGACCGAGATAGTCGGAAAGTTAGACTGGCCTTTTTGCTGTCAAACATAAGTCAGCTAAAATACGTTTTGATCCAGACGCGATAATTGTATTCTCAGAACAATTTGATCCTTGATGATTAAATCCTGCGCCAGTACACAGCGGCCTTGGGCACAGTACGCCATGCAAAAATATTATTTGGCAAAAGGAATAACGACATGATTATTGGCCTACTGGTGTTATTAACAGCATTGAGGCGACGATATACCTACTTTTTTAAACCGCGGAATTCTGCCAGCGTAAAAGCTTCAAGTATTTCCACTAGTCGCATTGAACTCAAAACAAAAACAAACAAACAAACAAACAAACAAACAAACCCCCCCCTAACAAAACAACAACAAAAACGAAAGAAGACACACAAAAAACACGATCTTACTCTGAATTGTTCCCATCTTTCTTGCCTTTTGCTGGTAATAAATGACCGTTATTCATTCAATATGCCTTTTCCTAACCCAAGCTCTCCTTTGAAGTGTTATGTAAAGCATCATCTGATTTCAGGCATGAAGAGCCTTGGTGAACCGCGCATGTTGGATGTTTTGGATATTTCATACCGAGGAAGCAGATGTACAATAATGTCTGAGCCTTCCACAGCCTTTATTTCGTCCACTTTTAAGGAATCAGTCACCCACTTGCTATTGGACAAAAGTATTTACGTTTCATAGCAAACCAAACTGTAAAATTTCTCCTGTCAACACCCATTATTATTTTCGAGTAATGTCGTTATGTATAACATTGCAAAGAAAATCGAAAAAAGTCTACTGATATTGGATGCATCTGGAAAGGGTTTATTAGACCCTTTTCTTACCTGTTGATTATAAGATTATTATCTCCTGTATTTTATTTTTTGGTGTCGTCTTTTTATGCTTGTATAGTTCTGACACATGCTCAGGCATTAAAAGCATGCCTACAGAGTAGCCGTTTTCCAAAAGCCTTAAGTGAAAGACGCGCAGTGGCAAATAAAAGCCTCAGATGTTTTATACAGGGATCGTAAGAGTGGAACAAGAGTATTATTGCAGTTCTGCATGGGGCGTCTTTCTGGGTAGATTCTTTGAGTAATTCAACATCTGTTTCGAGGAACCCACAGACCCTTAATGCACATTGTCGTGCCGCATTGAAAATGTATTAATTAGTAAAGTACCGCGCCTACTAGTGTCACGTAGAGAGCGTCCTACAAGCCAAAATAGCGATAAAGACAAATTCAGAAAAAAACCCAGATGTGTTACCCCTAGAAGCGTGTTTTTGTTACCATTGGAGTCCTCAAACTGTAGAATAACTGCAGATTAACGAGGGCCGTCTTGCTTTTTCCGTCCACTTTATGTACTCCAACCACCTGTGATCTTTGTGAAACTGTAGCCTTTTTCTTCTCGAGGCCACCCAGTTAACCACAGG